GGGTGCAGTTCAAAGTAAGTTCACCCCATGCTTCAGCAGTTTCTGCTTGGCTTTGCTGGCGAGACTGAAGGCGCTATCCTGAGGACTTGGGAAGCCGGAGCTCCGTGCTACAGGCACCAGCTGCTGGAAATAGGTTTCCTGGGCGGGGTTGCAACAGGCGTACACAGCAGTGGAGGCGTTCCTGCCAGAGGGAGAAGAAGACAACAGTCCGACAGTGCTGCTACACAGCTGAGACCACACAGAGAACGCTGGGAAGGCTCCATCACAGTGGCCCCAAGTGCAGCTGTCATGGCATGGGATTCTGGTTACTCACTGGAGTTTCAGGCCTCAGTGCCAATAACCATCTTTCCCTCCTTTCAACTCACTACATGCTGGGACAGTCCATAGCTGAACTGTCCAGGGTAGCTGCAGCCCCAGAAACTGAAGTTATAATTACACAAAAGGAACTGCTAGGCACCTGCCTGGCTGATGTGGCGGGAGCTAAGGAACATGCTCTCCAGACAGTCTCTGCTTACCCTTTACATGGTCTCTGGGGGGTGGCGTGGCCCCACTCGGCAGACCCTGAGGCTCAGAGAGGGAGGCTGATGCTGCCACAGTCGTCTTTCTAAGGAGTCTAATCTGCTGTCCACATTGGACAGATGGATATGGGTAGTAGGGCAGTAAGAGTGGGTCTGAGATGGAGCAACAGGAAGCCTGTGAACACAGAAGTAGAGAGCAAGGGAGGACCCACCTGGGAGGAACTGACTCCAGAGCCAGGTGACTACCTGGTTTCTAGATCCTGCCTATCTTGTACTGGTGGGCCTCAGTTTCCCCAAATCTAAGAAAAGAAGGTGGAATCAGAGTCTGCTAAGGCTCCCCTCCCCCAAATCTCTTTCCATGTCAGGAGAAGGTGGTCATCCTCCTTCAGCTGCTCCTTCTAGGCCTCGAGGGGCTTGAGGGGCCACCTAGCTTAAGTGTCATCTGCCACCCACTAGAACAGCAGGACTGGCTCCTCTCCACGGGGCATGGTGGCCAGGTAGGTATGAACACAGACTTGGAGACACACATACCAGGGTGCTAACCCCAGTCTTGCTACTTCCTAGCTGTGTGCCCTGAGCTTAGTTACCGAGCCTGAGTCCCAGCTTCCTTACCTGTACAATGCATATAACAGTATTTGCCTTCATTGAGGTTTTTTTTTTCTTAAAAGAGATAGAATAGCAAAAAAGAGAGAAATATATAGAGATATAAATTGCTTAGTACATGGTGAGTGGTTAAGAAATGGTAGCTGTTGTTCTATTACTATTATTAAAATAATCTCTCAACAAATGCCTTGAGCTATGCATCCCAAACTAAAACTCTCTCAGCTCCAAGGGAGGTGACATACTGCAGGGCCACAAGGTGGCTGGTAGAGCAGATGCTGACATTTTACTTGTTTCCACCTCCCACAAAACAGACACATGCACACACATACCCAACACAACCAGCTCCCAACCCAGAGATTCTAGATGCAAATCACAACTGCATTGCCAGCCTGGGGAAGCTCAGAATTAAACCCAGAGAAGACACATTTATAACAGAAAGATGTATTGAAATATTGGCTGAAGATGGCACTGAGCAGCAGATATACCAGGCAGTTAAATGTGGCAGGTGACAGGGGATTAGAACCATCATAATCACCCACCAAGGTTCCCATGTGCATCTGTGCCCCTCCCACTCAGCCACGCTGCCCCCTCACATTGAAACATGTCTGGAAGGATTAGCACTTAAGAGTCAGAAAGACGTGGTTCAAATCCTGGCTCTGCATCGAATGAGAATGTAACCCTGGATCACATCTTATTTGTACTTCAATCTCCTCTACAAAATAAAGATTAAAGAAATACCCTTGACCAGGCTGTTCCGAGGACTAAATGGACTAATACATACAGGCAGTCCCTTTTTGACTGTCCCAAGGCCTGATTTTCTGCTGCTGGTTTCACACAAGAAGCACGTACAGAGCAAAAAAACCCAGAATTTGGTTGGTTAAATTCTGTAAATTACAGTTAAATAGATCAACTGCCCTGAAGGTATTCAGGACACGCAAGAATGTGGAAAAAAGCAACTAGAAAATAGGACATTAGTATGATCCTATTTTTCTAGAAAAATATTAAAGTAATTATCAAAAAATACTATTCACATTTTATATGCAAAAAATCAAAACCAAAACCAACAAAACCTGGAGCAATATACACCAAACTGTTAAAGGTCATTATTTCTTGAGTGTGTGACAGCCAGGGGCAGTGGAAGGGGAGGAAAATATTTTACTTAATAGTTCTCCAAGCAGCTGAATGATTTTATAATCAGCATGTTTTACTTGTTTTAATTAGAAAGCCAACAGTGTTATTTCAACACCGTTTCTGGCAAGGTGAGAGAGCCTCCTTCCTCGGTAATGAACAGAGCCCACAACAGCAAGGACCCCTAAGTTCCTTCACTGTTGGACCCTAAGCATCCAAAGTGGGAAGGCACCCAGGCAGTCCAAGACCCACGAATGCATGAATGGATGAGGGCAGCCATAGGACTGACAAAGGAAGGCTTTAAATAGAGTAACTAGGGTGTTTGTCATCCATTTAGGAAGCCTGGCCCCCCAAAAGGTGGCTCCTATGAGCCGGACCGCCTGTACAGACAATAGGCCGTAAGACTACACGGACAGGCTCACCTGACGGTCATTTCGTACAGCGAGGGCAGCTGGGCAAACTCTGAATGCATCAGGCTGACAGCCTGGAGGAAGCGGCGATCCTGCGGGGCAGCCACCTTCGGCAGGTTCCCTTCCAGAAGAGAACACAGAAGTTGTGGAGAGCAGACCACTCCCCTCCCATCTCCCTCAGTCCAGGACTGAACACAGGACTAACCATGGCTCTAGGCCACAAGTCTAAATACCCAGAGCCCACAAACCAAGGCCGCCATGCGAGAGAGCAGACCCCTGGTCCCCAAGGACGAGCAGCACTCAGTTTCTGAGCAGGGATCTCAACATGCTGAGGCGGACCTTATCACAGATAGTTGGACACGTTAAGTTACTCTTAAAATGTTGAGAAAACACCAAAGACAAATGAGCAAATAAATTCTACACTCAGCAGGAGCCTTAACTGCAGGTCAGACCACTCTGCTCGGCCACATCACCACAGTGCTGGGGACTCGGCGCCCCTCTGCACTCGTCTCCAGGACCTGGCACCTGGGCTGGACCCTTCCCACCTCTGCACCCGAGCCTGCTCCTTACCCGTCAGCATGCTCTGGATGCGGTCGTAGTGCATGAAGTTGTAGGCACTGCTGGTGGAAGCAGCCTCGTCTCTGGGGAGTGTCTCTTTCAGGTGGACTTCCAGCCCATTTAGGGATGCCAGGCTGCTGTGGTACTGCAAAAGGACCAGGGACTGGTCATGATGGGCTTGCAGGACCAAGCTCCGCAGGCCTCCTGAGGGCTTTCTGTCGGACCATGGACTTAGTTAAGAAATAATCATCCAAAAATATCTTACTGCCTACTTGCTTTAGTAAAATAGACTCTGACCAGCACTTTTGTCTGTTTTTAGAGATGTGCTAACTTCCACCCTTATGTTTTATTGTTTTTTTACATTAAGGAGTATATTGTAGGAAAATTTAAAAATAGAAATGAGCAAAAAATCAATTTTTAAAAGAAGAAAAACGCAAAGAAAAATCAGCTGCCACACCATCCAGTAACAGGCACTGCCACCACCACACCCTAGGTTTGTGCCCTAACCCCGGCTTTCCTGCCCAAAGTATATGTTCAAACAATACAGATGGCTGGGACCACCCCTAGTGCTTCTCCACCAGGCCTGGGTACAGGAATCCCTCATGGGATATCATGAGTTAACTTCTCTCCTGTGCATCTAGAATGTCCAGGCTATGCACTATGTTCTTGTGAGCACTGGGAAATAACAAAAATTTCTGTGCTTGGTGGTTCAGCGAAGGGGGCCAGGTGAGGAAGGTGCCGAGGACATAAAGGCTCCAGCATCTATATTTTTAAAAATCTCCCGGGAAATGAGTAATACATAAGTACAGTTGAAAACACTAGACTCTACCATTTTGCTGTAATCCCATTTTTATAATCAAACCATAAAGAACAGTTTTTAACCAAACAATTAACTATAGCATGAACTACTTTTTGTGTCCCTAAATATTCCACATCATTCTTTAATGGGTGAGTACTAATCTTCAAGCTCCATTTAGGGCTAAGTACACCAGTCCCATCCTGACAGGTTCAGTCTACAAAAGGATCTCCT